CTCTCTCATGGAGGAGTGATAGGGAATGGGAAAGGACACACTGACAAAGAAGATTAATCAGAACTGGCTTTGACAAGCACTGTGGCATTTGGACGAGAACAAACTGGGAGGAGGGTAGAGAGAATAGTGCAACAATGAATGAATGGAAGCCCAAAATCTCTGTAAATGTTCATGAAAATCAATAAAATATAATTATAGAAAAAAAAAAGAGTGTTGACCGTGGAGCCGAGCAAACTGAAGCTGTGAACAATCTCAATCTCTTCACTCAAATTACAATTTTTTAAAAATCAGAAATCCATTCTTTCTCTAAATTAGTTTCAAGAAACCCTGGTGGCATGTCTGTTAAGTGATTGGCTAATCAAAAGGTCAACTGTTTGAAAACAGTGGTTGTTCCTTGGGAGAAAGATGTAGCAGTCTGCTTCCCTGAAGATTAATAGCCTTGGAAGTTCTCAGGGAATGTCTGCTCTGTTTTATAGAGTGGTTATGAGCCAGTACTAACTTGATGGCAAAGGGTTCGGGTGGATGAATTAGCTTCCAATAGTCTATTGCTAAAATATTTGAAGACCACTAGTTTGAAATTGCGGATTGTACAATACAGCTCACCTAGAAGAAAAAGAGGAGGAGGAGGAGGAAATGAAAATACGGGCTGTGAGACTAAGCATCAAATTTCCAGCACTTTCCTTGGTTTGCTTTGGTTTGTCTTCTGCCATCTGGGCTGTCTGCGAGCACTTCCGTACCTCTGGCTTTCCAGGCTGCAGGCGTGTGCGCACGCATGTGCGTGCTCTCTCTCTCTCTCTCTCTCTCTCTCTCTCTGACTCACCCTTCCTCAACCAAAGTCTGATCCATATGGCTTTAGATGAACTTCTTTTTAGCTTTACCTTGAGCCATTCTTTCCATAATATTGTCACAATTACTTATTACCACATTGGGAACACATTAAGCATTTCACAAATATGTACTAAATGGAGGTTATGCATCAAGAGGAAGCTAACATTCCATAGGCTATCCTGTGGTTTATTCTCCTTCTCTCTGCAGGAGTATCCAGAAACTGTATCGTGACAGTTGGAGTTATGCAAGAGTGACTTTAGTACATTTAAACTCAGGTTTAAAGCACTCTTTCCCTCTGTTTGTAGTTGGTAGAGTTTGAATAGTTTGAAATAGAATAGTTTGTTCTCCGGCAATGAGCCAGCATTCATCTGCACTCTTATGTGTTGCTTTGCAAATGCTAGTGGCCTTTTTCAAAGGTATGCATTTGCGTTTTCCAAGGGCAAGGACTGTATCTCCTCTTTTCTTTCTTTTAAAAGATTCCCAGTGGTACCTGATAAGAGTTCCATGCACAGTGGGGGCTCGGTAAATCTTGCCTGACTCCTCTCCCTTTGAACCGCCACCAAATACAAAAGCGTGGTCCTGGGCCCATGGGTCTTTGCAGAGGACTGATTATACACAGAGCTTAATCTTGAAAATTTTATAGGTGAAAAGGAGTAAACTCTCTCAACAACTGTGATAGAGTAGCAAAGTCGCATAATTAGCCAAGCAACAGGATGCCTGTGCTCTGGAGGCCCATCAACACACCATCCATTGGCTTTCTGACTGGTAAATAATTAGCCCTGGGTCGACCCGTTGTAAGTTTTATGGTCATTGTCAAATTATCTAGCCTTTCTGAGTCTCAGTTTCTCCTTCCATAATGTAAGAAAAAGAGTAATTTTTAAAATACTGACAATTATTGTGGTCTTTTGCACTTAAATAACAACATCCTTCCTCCCAGCTTGTACATTTTTAAATATTGATTTGAGTGAAAGTTTACACAGCATGTTGTTTTTTCAAGCAATCTTTCATGCACATTTCATTCTGTAACAGTTATAATACTCACAGTGCCGGATCATCCATTCATTCAATATTATTTGTACTTTCACCTATCTTAATAAGTAGTTATTGTCTGTTTCCAGTCAGCTGAGACAAGGGTAAAGGGCTGGCAGAAAGTGGTAGAACTACCACATTTGCTACAAATGAAAGGTTGATAAGAGAGTGTGGATTTAGGAATTTTAATACCGAGTCCCAGAATTCAACAGACCTCTCCATTCTAAGTCTATTTAGATTACCTCAGACATCCTTCAACGGGAGAAAAACACTGTGTGGAATTTAGGTTTTAGATGCTGGGAGAAAAAGCCTTCACTGTTGATTCTTTCCCAAGGGGAAGGCCTCAGCCTCATGAGTACCATCCAAATTCAGGGAACAGATGACTGTTTTTCCTCTGCGTGCCTAGGAGGTGAACACCATGAGAGGAATGCAGAGTGTTACACCAGGAGAACTCCCTTTACACAAGTGGAAAGAGGATCTTAGAGGACTGAGACAAAAGGATCTTAGCAGGCTAAGATCCCCTTAGAGGACTCCAGGGATGTTTAGGTTCTATATAGAAATTGTTTTGATCAGTTGATCATTCCTTAAGATAATCCTATACAGTGCTTCTGTAGGTTTGTTTTGTTTCGTGTTTTTTTTTAAGAAATTATCTTATGCAACTTGAAAAACAGAAAAGACAATTTCTTCTCCAATATTGTGTAACTAAGATGAGTTTCACCGAAGATGGACTTTTTGCCTTCTCTGCTTTGGGTCCTTGCGAGCTTAACTGTGCATAGTCAGATACTCTTTCCTAAGTAAGCTGAGTAAGTTGTCTCTGTGACTGCATTCTCAGTGCCTGTTCTGTCTCTCCTTTGCAGTGCAAGATGGAGTTTCATGCTTGTTCTGCTGGCAAAAGTCTCACCACCCTCTGTGATGGACCCTGTCCATGTCTCCCAGAACCTGAACCACCAAAACACAAGGTGGAAAAGAATGGTAAGTGTGGATCTCAGGAGACTTCTGAAGGAGGTATGCATGGTCAAGGAGGTCTAGTATCCCCGGAGCATTCTGGGGAGATGGACTCACTTGGCAAGTACCCCAGATTGTCTGTAGACTCTAAACTGAATTGCCTTCAGCAACCATTAAAAGGAAAGGGAAGAGCTGAGAGTCTTTCAAAAGAATTCTGTTCAACTAAGATATGCACTAAGTGCTTTTACAGGTCAAATTGGCTATGGAATGGGAGGGGCAGGTTTTCAGCATTGAAGTCCAAGGCCTGCCCTTGGGTTGTATCTTGGTCTTCCTTGAACTCTAATCTCTCAGATCCTTTGAACATCTCAAGGCTGAATTTCAAAACAAGAGACTGCAGAGATGGCACAACAGTGGGGAGCATTCTCCTCCAAAAGCATTTTTTTATTAATATATTCTGCTTGGAATTCAGCACAGGATCAGGGGACAGATGAAAGAAGAATGCCTCCCCAGAGGCAGTGGTTTTTCTGCTAACACTGAAAGGGGCAGAATAGGCTGGATATATTTGGATGTTTTCATGATGGAGAAAATGATGTTGTCCAACTGGCCTCAGCCACTGTTCAGCCTTCCTTAAAGAGACCCAGCATAGAAGTTTGCAGTTCACCTTTGTGGAATTGGGACTTTCTCAGTTTTAACTGGCTAGTCCATGCAGAATTCTGTGTGGATGTGTTTGTGCTGGTGGACGTATCCTTGGGAGAGGAAGCTGGTTTGGTACTTGGGTATGAACTGAAAGACTGGCTGTTGAGAGTCACCCAGGGCATCTTAGAAGAGACATGACAATCCACCTCAGAAAATCCAAACTTTAGAACTCTGGAGTACAGTTCTGCTCTGCACACATCAGAATTGATTTGAAAGCTTCCGAGGTTTTGTTTTGGTTTTATAAGAATATGTGTGTGTGTGTGTGTGTGTGTGTGTGTGTGTGTGTGTGTGCTCCTGTGTGCATATTATGTCTTCTAGAGTCAGCAGATATTTGTAACGAGGGAGAATGAATAGGATGTGGCTGCTTCTCCATTTGTCCCTCCTGCACTTCAGCATCTTTTCCATGGCAAATTGATCAAGATGTACAAGTCTAGAATAATTCACTGTGACCTCAGGGGTATCGTGCCCAAACTTCATTTGGGGAGGTTGAACTCAGGGTGCAGAAGGATATTGTAAGCCATACGTAGTGTGACCATAAAAAAACCCAAAAATCTTCCACAGGTTTTTCTTAATTATAAAAACTGCTGGTCTTGTTGGATTTTGACCTAATTCATTGACATAACTGCAGCAAGAAATACTAATTAATATGCATAAGCTTCCTTGTAGTATCGTTAGAAAAATCAAAGGCCATATAGTGTTAAGCAAGGAGAAAGTCACAAAAATTAACATATGCCCAGAGATTTTGAAAAAATCTTCTTGGAAAGTTTTGATAACCTTGATTGTTTCAGTGTTTTCACTGTTGCTTTTATTTGCTCTTCTCTGAGACTACGCTGGTGGCCTAGTTGCAAGAAGCTGAGCTCTAATCCCGAAGTCACTGGGTCCAGGGCCCCAGTTTCTCTGTGGGAGAAGGAAGGGCAACCTCCTCCCATGCAATTAACTGCCACTCTTGAGGGTCAGCTGTGGGTCAGTTTCAACTCTCTGGTACACAACACTGAGACTGAGATCCCGACGTGGCCCAGATGGTGTGTGCTCAGCACTAGCCAAAAGGTTAGCAGATCTGACCCACTCAGTCAGTCAGGGTTCATCCTGTTTCTATACCTTTTCGATCTACATGCAGAATAGATCATTCAGGAGACTGGACTTTATGAGGAGCAGTATGACATCAGGATTGGAGGAAGATTCATCAACAACCTGTGTTATACAGATAGCATAATCTTACTTACTAAAACTGAGGAGGACCTGTAGTGTTTGCTGCAGAAGGCAGTCTTCACTATGGATAGAGCTAAACATCAAAACCAATTATTGTCAACATTGGGCCAATTGGCAGCATCATGATAGAGAAGCGATTGAGATTGTCAACAAATTCATTTTGCTTGGATTCACAGTTATCACTCTTGGCACCAGAAGTCAAGAAATCAAAAGATGAATTGCATTAGAAAAATCTGCTGTCAGGAACCTCTCCAGAGTGCTAAAGAGCAAATCAGTCTAAAAACCAAGGTGTGCATTATTCAAGCCATGGCCTTTTTGATTGATTTGTTGTACATCATAGAGCTGGACAATGAGTAAGAATAACATAAGGAAAATTATGACTTTGAGTTATGGTTCTAGAGAATAGTATTAACTATAACATGGATTATGAAGAGAACAAACAGGTCTGTCCTGGAGAGGGTGAAGCCAGGTCACACCTTGGAGGCAAGTCCTTTGAAGCTCTATCTCACATACTTTAGGCATGTTGCCAAGAGGGATCAGTCCTTGAAGAAGGACATCATGCTTGGAAGGGTGGGGGACAACACAGGAGAGGAAGACACTCCATGGATGAGAGGATTGATATAGTAAATAGGGTAATGGAGGTAGGTGTCAGAGTCAGATTAGCTCAGTATAGGGCAAGGTTCATGGCTATTGTTCTTAGGGTCACTATGAGTTGCAGTCAGTACGTAACAACAAGAACAACAAAAGTGCCACAGAAGAAAAGGGCTGGTGATTTGCTTCCATTAAGTTTAGAACTAAGAAAAACCTGTGGAGTGGCTCTACTCTGTATATAACACACCAGGTCTCTGTGAGTCAGAACTGACTCCACAGGAACAAATAATAGTTATGAGGCCAAGAAACCCAACCAAGAACATTATCATCACTAGATTTACGTACATTAATTGTAAATGGGGTGAAGAATTCTTTCATAAAAGGCCTTCCAATCTGCTGGGGTTTTCTAGAAAGGCTTTGTAATTTGTTAAGTAAGTTCTAGTTCTTGTAATACGTGATTAAAATTAAATGAATTTTTTTTTAAATTAAATGAAATTTAATCATGAATAAACTTATCACCATCTCCATTAAGACACTCTCTTTCCCTCTCCCATTGCTGGGGAGTTACAACTGACTGCCAGCTCCAGCAAGTTCTCAGGAGGCTATATGTGTGATGATAGAGGATGTACGCATGAGAGATTGCCCATCTTTCTCCCTCAGAACAACTAGTAGATTCCACCCTCAGAGAGGTGCTGCCTTTGGATTGTCCCTATGGACAATGTTACCAGAGCTCCCTATTAATGCCAGGCCCTTTCCCTTCATTCTCTGACTCTATTGGGTTTACCAGCACTGTAAGAATCTCTTCTTTGGCCTTTTTGAAGGACATGGGAAACTAAGGGGTAGTTGGCTTTGACTTTCTGGTGTCAAGAAAGTTGGTAATGATGCTGTCTCAAACCCTGTCTCCACAGGCATGAGGCAGGGGATATTTTTAGGAACATTGCCTCAAATGGGACTTAGATAGGAGGAACACGGGGGTTATTGCCTAAGACAACAGGTTAGCAGTAGAGGTCGGATTAGAGCCTCGTCTCTGGATTTATAGTCTAGTGGGTGGTTTTTTTGTTGCTACCGTCTGTACAATTTCCAGTCATAGCCAGTGAGGTTTTTTTAACCTGAAGGTGCTGAAAGATCTATAGCTGAGATGATAGAAGTTAGATTTAAATTCTTTTGAAATTGAAAGCGCTTGCCTGAATTTGACATGTCAACCATCAGGTAGAAAATGTCGTTGTGTTTTAAATGAGATTCTGTAGATCCTCTCCTACCCCCTTCCTGATGTTTCTAAGTCATTTGGGGAGGACGCTGAGAAGATACGGCTGTCTTTCCTTGTATTGGTGCAAAGTCACTTTTGGGGAGGGAAAATGAGTCCGACCAAGCAACCCAGAAAATTCTGTAAATGGTAACCCCTGATGGACCTGATGTGAGCTAAGGTTTGGGGGAGGATTGCACATGTGCAGTTCAGGCCGGAGGGAGGGGCGCTGCACGCTTTTCCAGGAGGTACGGCTAAGGAGGAAATTACAACTTCCGTCCAGCAGAGCTACTTGGAGCAGTAGAAAAATAGTCTAAGATGATTTTTTTTTCCCTCAAATGGTGTTTTCAACCTGAGGGCTAGATTCCGACGGGGGGGAAATCCTAGGCTGACAGATGGTTGTCTAATCCCATTACTTACCACCACAAGTGGAATTGGGAAATGTGTTTAAATGGGAACAGGAGGGGCTGCAAAAGAAATGGACTAAGGATTTCCTTCCCAATATAATGTTTCAATGGAAGAATCCTGCTGCAGAGACTCCTAGCAAAATGGAGATTTATCTTTCATCCAGGAAAGAACATTTTTCTTTAATGCCTATTGTGTAACAGGGTGAAGGCCTCGGGTTTGAAAACTTGCAATTTAAAAGCAGTTTGTATTAACCTTTCCACGCCCATTCAGCTTCATTCGCTTATTCTTCACTACTATACTATGGTCAGAAATTAAACATATAAAGGAATATTTAATTTTTAGGGCCTAGCTATTCTAAATGCCATGTCAAGGATAAAAACCAAAACACAGAAAACCAAACACCCAACAACTTTAGAATGAAAATGGAAGCTGCACCAAAGAAGAAAAAATTATTTGTCAGAACCCTGAGGTAAATTGAACTCAGAGTCTTTGAACTAAGATTCTTTTGAGTGTTCAGCCGTGGGAAAATAGACCAGGCTTCCCTGGTCATCTGAAGCCTGCTTAGAAGCAACTTATCAGAAAAAGCTAAAAATGGGCAGAGAGAGAAGGGAAACCAAGCAGAGGGTGGCCTGGTTCATAATTGAGGACTAAGAGGAGGAAGAACTTTGTGATAGAGATTAATGTCTGTGACAGTTCACCCAAAAGCCTTATTTCCCCTACTATCTTCATTTTCTTTTTTAAATTACAAATTAACATATATCCTTATAGAAAGTCTAAATGTCATGAAAAAATACTTCCAGTTCTGTTAGCATTTTGTTGCATATGTCTCCAAATACTTTTTTATATGCATATATCACTTACTTTTTAATTTTATTCATCC